GCACACATGCAAAGTCACACATGTAAATCTACACACAGATTCGATTTGGGGGCATATAGTTTGCTCCAGGGCTCTGAGCAATTATTTAGGACATTTGTTGTCTGCCTTCTCTCTGTTCTGGGGAAGATTTTAGAAATTCTAATATGAGAGGCTGAGAAAGGAAAATTTTGGCTTCTACAGTACAAACATCCCTGTCCTGAAAGAAAATGTTAATTTTCTTCTAAATCAAATGTTGACATGTATCAGCTGCTACTGAAGATGTATCACTGTGGGACAAGCTCTCAGCTCCAGCGGATGGACATCAGACTGAAATCCCTCCTCCAAAATGCTAGCTGGTTTCTAACCTAAACAGGTTTGGTTGAGGTATTTTTTGAATTGACCTAGTTTGTTTTCAAAAAGCTGGTCTCTCTGGGACACCTTGAGGAGGGGAGCAGGATTCGACTTTTGTGGAATGCACTGTTTTCTGCAGAAGCTTAGGCCCCTACCTGTCATCTGCAATGATGCAGGCTCTGCTTGCATCTGCCAGGGGCACAGGATTTTAACCAAAGATGTGGGAGGGGGAAAAAGTCTAGGGGTATGGAGAAATGAAGGAATCTACAGACTAAAGGAAATTTCCAGTGCTAGATGTTTTACCTACCCCTTTCCCCATTGCTCCCAAAATATGCACTGTAAATATTCTTTGTTCAACACCTATGTTTTTAAAATCCAAATCAAGATTTCTCTACTTTTCCCCCCAATAATCACTCACACACACACACACACACGCATGCAAACACACACACCCTTTTAACTTGTTAAGTTTGAAAGATGATGATATCTACAACCCGTGTGCTTTGCCAGAATGCACGGTTAAGGCCAAGATTAATGCAGAAGGGTTGGTGCAACGTTGCCGCAGAGCAGCGTGATCAGAATACAAGATGGAACGTAGGGGGAAAGGCCAAGAAATATGTCTGTGCTTGGAGTTTACACAAGTCTCCTTAGCAACTTGTCTGCATTTATTTTTCCCTTAATGTGTGTGGGTTTCTTCCAAACCCTGAGTGAAATGGGAGTTGAGTTTCTGACAGTCCCCTATTTCCCTTCTTCGGGGGCAAAATTGTTTCATTTGGTGAGTGAGGCTTTCTCTTTTTTACCAGCTCCTTCTCCTCCCTTCCAACCCCCACCCCTCCCATTGAGGGAGCTCTGATCCTTTGCATTGTGACTTTGTGGTCTGTTGGTAGCTTTCCAGAAATCCACCTCTCCGTGGGGGAATGAGAGAGCCTGTTTCTGATGGCTACAGCTGTGCAGATTTCTGCCACAGCCTTGCTGCTTCAAGTACACGCTCCTGTGTGTGGCACAAGTGTAAATGTGCCTGTTATATGCCTGGGTTATAAAATCTGGGAGGAACAACGGCGCTCCTTTCCTCTCTGCTATTTTTCTTTTTCTGTCTTACTCTCCTCCCTTTCTATCTCTCATCACCCCTCCCCCAACACAAAAGACCCTGTAATTCTAATTAGAAGATGAATATAAAGCTATTAGGAAAAAACCCTGACTTTTAGGGATTTGACATGTTGGATTTTATGTGGCTGGGCTTGCTGCAGGGGAGATGACCGTAAATTCTGCAGTGGTTTTACCTAAAATTGTTTTTACCTTGAAATAGCTCTAGGGGAGTATAGATGCTGCCTCATTGGAGCCGATGCTGAATATAAATCTTCGTATTTCTCTTTCTGCCCCCTCCCATTTTAGAGTCTGGGGAAAAAGGAAAAAGGAAATCTAGCCAAAAAAACGTTAAGGTTTGACTTTGGCTCTTTTACAAACAGATGTTGCTTGTCATTCTCTTGTTGTTAAGCAGGCACCAGATTGAACCAAGCAGCAGTTGTAGGTGCGTGTGTGTGTGTGTGTGTGTGTGTGTGTGTGTGTGTGAGAGAGAGAGAGAGAGAGAGAGAGAAAGAGAGAGAGAGAGAGAAAGAGTTAGGAGGTTGATTAAGGGCTAGAAAGCAAAATAACCAGATCAATATTTGGGACAAGTTGAGAGCTGGAAGTAAGGAAAATAGTCTAATACTTTTTTTCTTCCCCAACTTCTATTTGGTGAAGAGTACATACAATCGTCTTCTAGTTGGTTGGTTGTTGTTCCAAACAAAGAGAGAAATGTGGGAATCAATAGACATGGAGAGCCCTAGGTGGAGAAACACTGACCTGCTGGGTGAAATGCAGAGAGACAGGGTGTGTGGCTTTTCCTCCGAGTGGATCTGCACCCCGGAGGAAGGCAAAGGTCTTTCTGTTTCAGCTGAACATCGTTTCTTGGGTTTGAAGGTTGCTTCTTTTTATAAGTATCATTGTGGAGGTTCCAGGCCTCTCTATAACTTTCCCAGAACAAGACTTCATTGTCATGCAGTCAAAACCCTCAAGAAATACTCTTTACATATTATATATCTCTTTTCTTGCAGGATTTGATCTTCAAATCTTCCAAGCCATCCTATCCACCCACTTTCTAATCTAATTGTGAGATACTTTCTCAAGAGCAAAATGTAGCTTTGAATAGAAAGTGTTAAAGTTGGCTGGTGTCTAGGAAGCATTTATATAGCATATAGTTCACTTCTATTAAAGAGATGACAGTCATCTGATTTTTAAAAATACGTGTCTGATGTTTCTATGTCAGAATCAAGGTCTTATTATTTTTTCAAATTTCAATTCTCCTCCCCTGCTTTATTAGCAAAATAGCTAGAAAGGAAGTTGTAGGCTGGCATCATTGTTTGCATTTTCAAAGGGAAGAAAATTTGTCATCCTGAGCAAACTTATTCCTTTTAAAAGTGAAAGTAGTATCCCTTAGCCAGCGCACACGATACAACTTGTTACTGGCAAAGTCTCTCTTTTGTTTCATCTGGTGTGTCAAAAGTGAATTTGCCTTCAATTTCTCACTCTCAAATAGTTGATTTCTGTTATATGTCTGTTTTAAGTGAACATTAAGTGGGTTTAAGATTTTTTAATTACGGAAAAGTAAGCTCACTATTCAAATAATCTGAGAGTGTCTTTTGTTTTCATCCGATCTATCTTCTATTATACTCTTTTCCCTGTCTTTTCTCTTTGGTTGATCTGCACACACTTGCATTTATCATTTTCATAAAATATTGTTTAGTGTGGGAAAAGTGTGGTGGGATGAAGATTAATAAATATCCATCAATCTTCAGTGTTCCCTTTGCTTGAAAGAAACATGAAAACCATGGCATTGCTTTGCCATTCTCCTCTCTCCCTACTCCCTTCTGCTCAGTTTTTCCTGGTAAAAAAGAATGAGTTCTACCTAAGCTAACTGGCTTTGGTGCCAAAAGTCTCTGCATCATATCCTTGAGCGCTGCTCCCACTCTGTGGCCTGATATCCTTGTGGCAATGTCACAGGTGGATAAAACGTGGCACGATGATTGACACCAATGAATTACTCCTGGAGTAGCAATTGCTGGATGTGCCTCTTTTGTTGAGGTGATTGGATCTTTTGGCAAAAACCAATGACTGCAAAGGATGAGAGAAAAGATCAGAAAAACCGAAAAGCTATAAAGCTATAGGAGACCAAACACTAGTGTCTCCCTGCTTCAGGAGACACCCCCTGTCAGAGTGAACAACAAAGGTTAGATTTGAGCAAGCTTGCTTGTCCGCTCGCTCCTTTCTTTCTTTCTTTCTTTTCTTTCTTTCTTTCTTTCTTTCTTTCTTTCTTTCTTTCTTTCTTTTCTTTCTTTCTTTCTTTCTTTCCTTTTCTTTTCTTTTCTTTCTCTCTCTCTTTCTTTCTTTCTTTCTTTCTTTCTTTCTTTCTTTCTTTCTTTCTTTCCTTTTCTTTTCTTTTCTTTCTTTCTCTCTCTCTCTCTCTCTCTCTCTCTCCTTCCTTCTCTTATTCTTTCCTTCTATTTTTTCTTCATTCTCTATCTTACTCTTTATTTCCTTTCTCTGTCTCCGGCTCTTTTTCTTTTTCTCTCTTTTTTCTTTTCTCTCTCTCTGCCTTTCCCTTTTCTCTTCTTTATCTCCCCTCCCTCCCTCCCTCCCTCCCTCCCTCCCTTCCTTCCTTCCTTCCTTCCTTCCTTCCTTCCTTCCTTCCTTCCTTCCTTCCTTCCTTCCATCCTTCCCAGATAAAAAAAATTGTCTGGTCAAATTGTCCCATCTGTTTGGGACAAAGGAGATCTACTGAGATTTTGTACAGGATGTACATCTTTAAAAAGGAAGGGGGGTAGAGGGCAGGAAATCTTTCCGTTGGTGTCGTTCTGCTGATGTCACCATGGATTCAGTGTTCAAGTCCACAGCCAGGCAAAACTCAAATAAATTTTCCTTTTTGCAAGCAGCTGCACTGTGAGTTCGCCTTCCATTAGTAAAGGGACAATGAAGGAAAGGCAAACCCCGCGTCCAAAACATGGCCAATGAAAGGACACTGGAATGGAAGCCAGGAATCCCGCTGTGGTGGAGAGGCATAGACTCATGAATCCACCACAATCAGATACTTGCTTCTTTTTAACAGCCCTATCAGCCGAGAGAAATAATGACTCCCGAATCATTTGACAGTAAAAAAGTTAAAATGATGTGTCAATGGTGCTGCATCATGCCAGGTAATCACTGCCCAATTCATTGATTATACCTTAAACTATTCTTAACTATAGATAGCCTATCTCTTCATCATGCTTAGCAAGTGAGTGGTTTGGTATAAAACATTTGTACAAAAGTTTGGGAGTATTCCGAGACTTCACATTCCTATTTGATCATTTTTCTGGTAAAATTGTTCTCAAGGTCCAAGGGGAATTCCAGGAAAAATGTGAAGTTACTTATTTGCAGAACCTATTTATTATGCATAGTTCTGGAAATGAAGTAAACATAATGGTTCCCGATGTTTTTCTAGAAATACTTTTATTTCAGTTTCTGTTTTTCTTTTTACTCTTGTTCTAATGTTACTTTCAACTTAACAAAAGAATTGGATGGCAAAAGAAACCAACTGAAAAACAAGTGAAAATTCTTAACCCATTAAAAAATATTGTAAATGTCTTATTTTCCAGAAGCGGGTGGATGATTTGAAGATATTAGCCCTAGCAAGATGGAAGCAGGTTTAAAATTTTACATAAGAAGTTACCTTTTTCAGGTAATGGTGTTTTTCTGTAATTTTCCCAAACCTTTCATTTCTCAAGTATTGCAAATTTTTAGGGCATGCTTGAATGATTTAATTATGAAGAATAACTACATTTTAAACTTAATTTTTTAAAAAAGAAACCAGTTTTATAATTTTCATAGCCAAGAGTAGAGCAGACATGGCATTCAACTCTATGGAGTCTGGAAAATTTTTAAAAATTTATTACTGAACAGCACTTGGATTTTTGGATCTGAAAATTAAGCCATAGAGCTACAACTAAATTCTCAGTTTTGCCAGACTTCACAGCACCAGCAGGCTCTGAGCAATCATAACAAGCATTTGAAACTAGCAGGCACTGCCCCTTAACTCTGTTGCTATCTTGGGCATTTGAATTAAAAAATATAAGTATTACAGGATTGGCTCTAAAAAGCCTACCATGTGTTCTGAATTCCTGGAAGATAGAGCTTATATAAATTGCATAATAACAATATTGATTTTTTTTTTACTTTAGTCGTAGATTGGTAATACTATATGGCACTTTATGAAACTGTTCCCTTGCATATTCAGTGAGTAGGATTCGATCTTAGCTGTCATGATAGAGGCAGTTTCCTTTTAGTGTCATTGAAGGGTTTTATGCCACCTAAAAATGTTTAATAACATAAATTATATATTTGCTTTATAAGTTACATTACTTGGGCTTTGTCATTGCTTACCAGCATTAACCCATATTTTCCAACTTGTTAATATTACTTAGAGAGCCCACAGATTCTTGCTTAATGAAGCAAGCCAAAATTTCTTCTGAAAAAACCCCTCATTTTCCTCCTCAACACAAAGAAGATTCTTAAAGGACGTAGTCAATTAATACTTTAAGAAAAATATCTACTCCCAAACAAACCATCCCTTTAGTAGGTCAGTATTTGATTTTCTTCTCGTTTTTTTTTTTTTTTTTTTTTCCTGCAGTATGTCTGTTTTTGTTTTTCTTTTTTTTTTTTTTTTTTTTTCCTGCAGCCTGGGTGTCTTCTGGTTGTTCTTTTTATTTTCTAAAATGGAAACTTGGGATTGTTTGGAGGTTAACACTACAAACCATTTGAAATGAAAAACTTCTCTCTGTTCTATATTTGCCAAGGAAAGGGAGAGCTGCCCCCAACTGAAACGCAGCATTGAGCTCCTTTCTGTGGAGGTCAAGAGTGCCATGCAAATTTATGGAAGTGGTGCTATTTGAACGTCTCAGTGTACCACTTTGATAGATCTTAGTCTATTGCTAACAAATATTGTATCGTTTTAATAAGCGTGATGATAACAATTCGTTCTCATTACTCTGGGACCTTGGACTTACTCTGTTCCATTACAATAGGAGCACCTCCATCCCCCACATTCCAGCAATATTTAACAGGGTTCAAAGTGTCCATCCTCAAATACCTCTAGCCCCATGCCTTTGTCAGAGAGACCGAAGGAAAAGAAGCAGCTCAGAGCTTATTTAAAAATCTTTTATTTTAGAAAGGAAATGAACATTTTAAAATAAAATAAAGTAAGTAAAGACCATCTGGGGGTGACTGATTTGGATACTACTTACTTCCACTTGCTATTGTTGTTTCTTTGGATCTGAAAATTAAGCCACAGAGCTACAACTAAATTCTCAGTTTTGCCAACCTTCGCAGCACCAGCAGGCTCTGAGCAATTGTACCACAGCTCACTTGTGATGAGATAGGGAGACAACAAAGTGTCTATGAATGGTTATGTCTCAGTTTCTGTTCATCATACTATTGGTTTCCTGTTCTCTTTATTTAACTTTCTAGGTTGCATACACGAGGGCCTGCTCTTTTCTCTGAATTCAGCTCTGTCTTTTTTTATTTGTTCTCCTTAGCAGGGCCTCAGTTCATCTCCCAGATTCTTTTTTTTTTTTTTTTTTTTTTTTTTTGAGACAAAGTCTCACTCTGTTGCCTGGGCTGGAGCACAGTGGCACAATCTCAGCTCATTGCAACCTCTGCCTCCCAGGCTCAAGCAACTCTCGTGCCTCAGCCTCCAGAGTAGCTGGGATTACAGGTACACGCCACCATGCCCAGCTAATTTTTTTGTATTTTTAGTAGAGACCAGGTTTCACCCTGTTGGCCAGTCTGGTCTTGAACTCCTGACCTCAAGTGATCTGCCCACCTTGGGCTCCCAAAGTGCTGGGATTACACACATGAGCCACCAGTGCCTGGCCCCAGATTCTTGAGAAAGGAGTGAATGTCCGTTTGTTGAGGCAAATGAGATAATTACTTTGAGAGCCAGGATCCATCATTATAGCTTACAAAAGTTAAAAAGGTCTCTTTTTAGGTCCTGTAAAGGGAAGGAGTCATATGTGCTTCCCAGCATCCAGGATAGGGAATCATTTCGCTTTCTAACATATGTCCCCGAAGTGCTTATGATCATGACTGTCTTCAGTACAATTCACCAAAGGCACCATGCATGAAAGTTCATTGTCTTGGATGTTCCCGTCTTATATGTAGAACATTGGTTTTGCAGAAAAAAATACTATATTGGCAGATGAGATCGTTTTATAAGAAGGTCTCAGAAACAGATTCATCCCTGTTCTCTCAAACAGTTTTGTGGGGGGCAGGGGGCAGGGGCGGGAGGAGGAACAGCTTCTGTAATTTCTTCTATGGTTCAAATTTTATAAAGTACACCCAAACCTGCTCGTTGTTGGTGTTTGAATCAATAATAAGTGTGGGGATGGGATGGGGGTGGGAACAAAAATGCAAACTTTTCCCAAAGATAGATCTGCATACAGCTGAAAATCTCCTCTAGAGTGGTTTTCAAAAAAATATTCCTACGATAAGTAAAAAATAAAATAAAAATCTGGTAACAGCAAAAAAAAAATAAAAAAATATAAAAAAAAAAATCCTACGAATCTGTTGGTAGTACTTGCTAAGTTTATTCCAGTTGCTTTCCAGAATGCAAACAGGAAAATGAAAGTTTCGCCATCATTTTTAATGTCATGACAGGTATTTAAAGGAATGAACTTGCATTTGGGCTCTCACGTATTCTTTCTCTCTGCCTACAATGTAAAGAATTTTCTTTATTCTGCTGGTTTGCCATGTTGGTATCACTTTGCCCAGATTGTGTGTTCAGCAGTGAATAAATGAGTCTTCCATATATAAACAGTAAAATGATGAGGTTGACCTAAAGCCCACTGGATTTGTGGAAAAAGTGGAAACCAAGGGAGGCACGTTGGGGAGAACATAGAAGATGTTGCTTAACTTTTTCTTTTGTGAGAGTGGGACGAAGTCCTTTCCATTTCTGGCATAAAACAGTTGAATGGTAGACTCTTTTGTTGGATTAATGGCTGTAACGTTTTATTTTCAGACATGTCACACCCCCAAACAAGAGAAGATATTGAGGCCTGTTGCCACAAACCCGTAGATCCGAACTTGTGGTATTAGTCTGCACAAGCTTGTGTCTATAGGTATGTGTCTTTTAGGCAATCTCACAGACCTCGGGTTTGCTTCTATGCCACTCAATATCCCTTTGAGCTATTTCATTCTCCCTCTCTTCCCCTTAGTTTCCTTTAAGAGCGATAAAAATGGAAAAGGGGGCTGAGGTGGAGGAAGGAGACCTTTTGTCCTGAAATGAATGAGGTTCTTCAATGATGAATTAATAGGCTTGCCCTCAGTTCCCGTATCTCTCATAACTGGTCTCAGCTGTCAAATTAGAAGGCTGGACTTGCAGGTGAGGCAGCAAGCACTTGAGTGATTAGAACAACTTACTGTTGAGTGATGAGTAAATAGATAAACAAGGGTTTCTTTTGTTTTCTGTAAGCCTAATTGTTTTCAAAGTTATTATGATGTTTTCTGGAAAGTGGCAGACATGTTTACAGGGCCAATTTCCCCGTGATTTGGGTTTTGGGTTTTCCTTTGTTGCAATTCTTCCTCCCCCATTTTCCCCAATAATTTTGCTTCTGAAGGACTGATAAATCAGAATGGATGTGTTTAACTGCCTAACTATTTATACTTCTATTTATATCCAGCAGTGTAAGAAGGACTTCTTATAAAAAAGAAATTGCCTGTTTAGGTACAAATTAATATTTGGCCAGAGTTGTTTTATAAGTCTTTATCCTGTTTTAAAGGCTGGAATGAAAATAATTTTACCCCTTGCCTCTTAAATGTCACCATTGTGCCAGGATTGAAAAGCTAAACTGACCACAGATCAAAGCAAAGCTGGCTATATTTGTCTCATTCCAACAATGTGAGCTGAGGAGTCTGTAAACAGAACTAGAACCCAGGGTGAAAAGTTGATCAATTTGTATGACTCTAAAACTTTTGCATTCCCTTTTGGTAAAACATAGTGCCAGAAACTCCCTTAAGATGTGTGTGTGTGTGTGTGTGTGTGTGTGTGTGTGTGTGTATGTATGTGTCCTCTTCTAACAAAAAGTCAACATGACGTAGTTGGTGGGTTAACATTGGAAAAAAGTTTGAAATTCAAGTGGATGAACTTTGTCTCCTCTTAAGACCTACTCAGGAATAACTAAAACTCTTCTTTTATCCAGTACATAGAAATGAGATTTTGCATTTCTGAATTAGGACAGCCTAGATACAGATGACGTATGTATAAAGGGTAGAATTTGGAACTCTGTAATTGCCAGACCAAGACGACATTGTTACCATGCATTTCCTTTACAAAGCACTGAGGAGGGTTGTCTATAGTGCTCAACCCCCTGCTTGCCAAGAAAGCATTGCTTTATTAGAGAATGATGGCATATTATAACCCAGAGTGAAAGACTGTCCTCATTGGTGTGTGTTATATAAATTGTTTGCCTAAGGTCTTTATCTACCCAATAAGCAAACAATTTGCTTGGTTAGTTTTATATGCCTCTTTGAAGTGGTTAACTTGGAATGAATAAACTGCTAGCAAGTTAAACCTGTACCTCCACTAGATAAATACTTGTTTGATAACGGCAAAATCACATCTCCACTCATCATCCCTTTAACCTGCTGTTAACCATGGGATTAATGGTGGAGTTCATGGATCCATGGGGACTCTGAGCTCCCAATATTCCCCGAACAGGAACAATACTTGGACTGCAAAATGGCCAGTAGGTGACTGCCAGATTACTTCTTTTAAGGAGGTTTTTAAAAACACATTATCCCAAGAAAAAAAGATTATATAGAGCAGTTGGCCCTTTCAAAGTTTCTAAAAGGCTTCAAACTTTGATTCATCTGGTTAGAAAATATTCTGGTGGAAAGCCCAAAGCCCCTGGACATTGGCCACAAGAAACAGGATATTAAATATTTTACATGATGATGAAATTCAGTATTTTTCCCTGCTTCCGTGTTCATGAATGAATGGTTCTGTAGATATTAATTATTCCTTTGAGGCTCCCTCAGAGTGTACCAAATATCCTACAGGAACCATGCAGAAAGTAAAATAATTTCAGAATTTCCCCAGAAAGACTTGGAAGAAATATTTCAACAGCTATTATTACATGGAGGAAATAGAATGGGTATAAAGCAAACTAGTTTTATTAAATTTCTCAAATCATCACTATCAAAATATATTTAAGATGCAATACCAGGACATGGTTTAGATTTGTTTTTTAAAAACAGGAAAAAAAGAAACTTGTTTCAAGAAATGCATTTGATAAAGCAACTCACCCTGTATCATCAGAGTTTGAGGAGGGAGAAGCTGAGATTTAGCTTGAGAAATTTTCTTATTTATATTTCAAAATTAATATATGTATTTCTTTACATGGGAAAAATGGCATGTGTATCATAGAATTAATTTTGAATTTTAAACTAATGTGATTTCTTATTTTTCCAATGTACTTACCAATCATTCCTCAATATTTGTTAGGTCCTATGGATCCTTATCTGTTGACTATGGTATTTAATCCCATCAAATGTCACCTAGCCTCTCCAATTAAGATTTTTAAAGCCTCTACTGCCTGTAATAGCACTGAATTTGTACAGAGAAGTCGACGTGAATGACTCTTCAAAGATGTTCAAAGATTTATTAGAACCTAACATGGTAGTTAATAAAGTATGAGTTGGAAAAAAAACCACTTTTTACAGTTGGCATAGCCATAAGGCTAGAAAAATTATGATTTCTTCATTCTCTCATTCATTCAACAAACCTTTATGAATGTTTACTTTGTGTTCAGTACTTTGCTAAAGGACAAAGATATGACTCTGGCTTCAAAAAACTAATTATCTGATCAGGGGCCCCTTTGAAGAATTGCATGTCAGCCATACAGACACATGTTTTAATGAATCCCATGTTTTAATCATAACATTTGTCCAACTTCCAAATTCCTAATCAAATATAGAAGATGTTTACTAATGGGGTGTCTCTGCTTTTTCCTAATCTCAGACACTCATAGCATTGTTTGAGGTTTATCCTTACTTCATTTGGCGGATTGCTGCTGGCAGCACTTAAAACCTCGGTGTTCGATAGCATGAGAGTCTGTTTACACATGTTCAGAGAATGTGTGGAAGATTTTTTCTAAGTTAATAAGTACAATAGATTGTCTCTACCTGAAGATATATTACTGTTGTTTGCCTATAAATACTACTTCTTATTTTATTTTTCACTTGCACTTTTCAATAAGAATTTTTATGACATCATTCCATATCATAATTGCATGTTGTTATTACATGCCTACAAATATTTACACTAATTATGTAATGAGCCATAATTGCACTAATACATGATAATGGGCTAAAATCAGTGTAAATAAACAAGGAAATTCACAACCAAAAGAGCAGGGTATTGAAAACCATTAGTATTCTAAGAGCAGCATCTTTATATCTTTGACCCCCAGAATAAGAATGTACATGGAGAAAGATCAATTTTTCCATTTCTGGGTATTTAAAAGCCCTCTGAACTGTATGTTGTGGCTGATTGACTAGCACTCTAGCACGTGGATCTTATCCTCTCTTTGTTGTATCTTCCTTTGTCAACACTTACTGCCCTTCCCCTGCCTTGTGTCCCATTCATAAGGGTTATATATCGTGATTGTGTTTACAGAGTCAGGCACAGAGTCACTGCAAGGTGAATGAAAAAATTCAAATTAAGAGGAAAGAAAATGAATTATATTTTCTTTTTTGGTCCCGGTAAAGGTTAAATCTTCTACATAAGTGAGCATCTAGTAGCAGAAGACTCGGAAATACATCTTAAGTTTCCATAGGAGATCTGGGATTTAAGGTTAAACCAGCCAGGTTGAATTCAGCCACTCTATGATTTTTTGCCCCCTCTGGAATCGTAATAGCAAATCCATCATACTATGAGTGAAACTCTAATATAAGTGGAAGAACAAAGGATTGGACATAAAAATAAAAATCATCATCCCTTAACTGCAAGTTGCTTTATACTCCCATTTATCCATTTATGCATATAGTCTTTTTTTTTCATTTGAAAAACTTATTTTTTTGATTTCGACATGTGCCAGCTACTAGCCATTGCAGATCATACCAGATTGGCAAAGGTAAATTATGGGGCACCATTTCCACATAGCTTGGGGTCCGGTGAATGAGACAAACAGATAAATTATAATGCAATGATGTGAGAATTAAAGCATAAATGCATATATGAAATTGTGAGATAATCAGAGGAAGAACTCTTTGAAATGAGGCTTGAAGGATGAATGAGAGTTTTTTTTGATAAAACTAACCTCCCAGCCTTTTTCCCAAACTAGGTAGCCTTGATCAAACAGAGGCAGCCCCCCCACCACCGCTCCCCCACAAAAAAAAGCAGTTTCACCCCATCAAAGCTGCATAAGGATATAGGGTTGGAAACATCGGGAAAAAAATCATTTTTCTCCAGGCTAGTGGAATAGCGTGGAGAAATACCAATGCTATGGCATTTGAATCTGTCTTTTGAACACAATCAGTGCAGCATAAGTATCAGGAAGATTCTCAGTGTGCTCAGACGTGCCTCCATCGTTATTTGCCTAGGCTGACCTAGCTGCTTTGTAGCACATCCTTTACTAGGCAAAACCAAAGTCCAGCTAAGCAATGAGGAGAAGTGGCTTCTGGTAGACCACAGAGTAGTCCTTATGGGAAAATATAGACCTGAACAAACTTGAGTTTACATAGAGATGAGAAGTTGCTAAGCTTGTAGAAGCCTATCTCCTGCTCCATCACCTGCCTGGGACTGAAGATACAGGAAAGATTCAGTTTAAAATTATGAGGCAGGTGGATCACAAAGTCAGGAGTTTGAGACCAGCCTGGCCAACATGGTGAAACCCATCTCTACTAAACATATAAAAATTAGCTGGGCGTGGTGACACATTCCTGTAATTCCACCTACTGAGGAGGCTGAGGCAGGAGAATCACTTGAACCAGGGAGGCAGAAATTGCAGTGAGCCAAGACTGCGGCACTGCACTCCAGCCTGGGCGACAGAGCAAGACTCTGTCTTGGAAAAAAAAATTATAAGTGCAAACAGGGAAATAGGCACATTTTGTAGGTTGTTGAATAGACTATTGTGGACAGACTTATGAAAAATGCTGAAACAGTCAACTCTGGAAAAAGGAGCACTTTCTAAATATGAGAATTATGTAAAATACATGATAAGTATTGTTGGTTGGATGTTCAAAGTAGCTTTTGCGGTATTTCTTAATCTGCATTTTGCTCAGAATCATGTTTTCTATATCTTTTCACTGTGTTTTGGTTTAAGCCAGTTCTTCTTGTATATCCATCTTTTAGTGACTCCAGTTTTTCAGTTTTACCAGGAAAACATTTATTTTTCTAATCCTTTTTTAAATTGCCCAAGTTTAAATATTGTTCTACTATTCTATTTCGTCAACAGATATCAGAAGGCATTCAGAATCACCATTATGGAACATTACTATAATCTCCATGCACAAATAGTTTAAGAAGGCCAGTCCCAAGTATTTGCTCCCTTCCTGTTTGCATAGTAATCTCAAGCCAAGGTTTTTGTGTTATCTCTTCTATCATCAGACTCTTCGATGTGTTGTCTCTTATGAATGGCCCAAATAGGTGACAGCATGAAGAATCATTGTAAGACTAACTTGTAATTTCCTTGCTTAAGAAATGGTAGTTTTCCAGCCATTGTGACTGCATGCTCCCAGGCTGAGGTAGTAGGTTGTATAGTTTAGAATTACATCAAGGGAGATAACTGTACAGCCTCCTAGCTTTCCTTGGGTCTTGCACTAAACAACATGGTGAGAACGATCATGATCCCTCCAGGCCTTTTCTCCCTATGAAAGGTAAGATTGGGTACAATTATTTTATGGTATTTTAGAATTCAAGTTTTGTTTAATCCTTGTACCCATGCTGTATTTTCATGTTCTGCTTCCTTAGGTTAGATTTCGTTTTAAGAAAAATGTGAGACTTTGAGGGATTCAGTATATCAGTTGTCCATTGTCACAAAAATGCTGCATAATAAACAACACAAAGTCTCAGTGGCATACAATAAATGTATATTTAGCTCATGAGTCTGTGTATCTGTGATTTACACAGGTTTTCTGGTCTTGCCTGGGCTCATTTCTTCTGGCCATCAGCTCTAAGATGGGGTCACTAGATTGATGGGGGCAGCTCATTTCTGTGCTATGTGTCACATCTGACAACAGATTAGTTCTAGCACATTCTTATGGTAAAGGCAGAGGAGTAAGAACAAGGACAAGCCAAATGACTTAAGGATCTTACAAGCTTCTGCCTGCTTTGTGTTTGCTAATATCTCATTGGTCAAAGGAAGCCGCATGGCCAGTCCTGAAGCCAGAGTGGGCACTATTACAAAGTTTCATGGCAAAGGACATGAACTCAGGAAGATATTACAAATTGGGGCTGCTTTTTGCAACTGTATTGCAGTTTCTTAGATATTACCAAATTAAAAGAATTTTGTACTCTCCACTCAAGGAAGTTTCCAAGATAAAGAGCCATGTTTTGGAATTCGTATTTTGGGTTTTAGGCTAAGCTGGTCTTTGAATGCAATTTTATATCCCTGTTATTGAGATATGCTTTAGCTAACCTCTGTGAAAACCTCTATGGAAAAATACCAAAAGACTGGAATAGTAATAATGTAGAGATTGATTACCTCAAAGCATAAACGTGGTCATTTCATAGTGATAACCAATGTCATGAACAACGACATTTTACCTGTCTTAGATGGAAATCCCACCATCTGCAAAGAGCATATGAGCAGCAAAACCAGCACTCAAATCCAGATCTGTCAGTTAGGAAGGTGTTAGTTGTTCTATGTCTGGATACTTTTCAGCAGAAAATGCAGATGGGTAGTCAGAAGGTACATAATGAGGTGTTTAGTCCATTTTATTATTTTCTGGTAGTTTAATGTACAAAATATGTCAAAGGAAATGGTTATGCAGTCTGTAGGTATAGTTTCTCTCTCTCTCTCTCTCTTTCTCTCTCTCTCAGTTACCTCAAAGAAGAGATGAAATTCCCTGTGTCAGGATTTTGATTCTATGCTCAAATGTTTTTATGGTGAATTACCACCAGTGACTACCGTGTTACTAAGAGGTCAGGAATAACTAGCCCCCCCTTATAATGAAGCACAGCTGAAGGTTCGATGTTACTTTCAAGCCACCCTGAAACTCTGTAGCAGAACTAGGAGCAAGACTCAAAGGCTCTCGTGCCATCTTTATTTCTTAGCTCATTCTTCCATTCTTTAGAAGCTACTATGCCTTGCTTTAGAAGATGCTGTCATTACTTTGTGACATTTATTATGAGTTTAACATTAAGCATACTTGTTACCTGTATCTGTGTTGCATGAGTTTGTATATTAAACATCTGTAGCCACTTGACACAGATAAGGACCTACTTAGTACTGTTTATACATTTATAAAGCTTCTTTTTTTCTTTAAAAAAAAAATCAAGTTATCTTTCTCTACAAAACAACAAGATCCTCTCCTTTTCAATGGGATAAACCTGGGTGGGTTTACACATCCATGATTCCCAAGAGTGAGCTAGTGTTTGGGATACTCTGCTTCTGAAGGCAAAGTAACCTTACTAGGATTGAATTTCTGCTGACTTTAGTAATGAGGTTTTATCTACTTGAGTTTAAATTATGCCTTCTATGCTTTTAGAATGGCTATAGTGTCTAGGAGCTCATATTGTTGTGATTTTTAGCCAATAGCTCATGGTGGGACAAAGAGTTTGAGAACTGCAAGGAAAATAAATAATGTTGGAAGCCACCTTAGATACCATCTTAGTGTGAATTTCAGCAGTAGTGGATGGGTAAAGTATTTTCCAAAATAATGTATCCCTTGTCTTCATCTTTGGTGAGTATGTGTTCTATTTCCTCAGGGAAACTCTTCACTGAATTTTATATAATGGACAATCATTTTTAACCCCATAAATCCAAAATACATCATTTAGACAAATGGCCATAGTATCTTCTAGCAATTAATCTCAGGGTTTAAGAAGGAAAAGAGGAGGCTGAGTGGGGGTGGATCACTTGAGGTCAGGAGTTCAAGACCAGCCTGTCCAACATGGTGAAATCCCGTCTCTCCTAAAAAATACAGAAGTTAGTCAGACATGGTGGCACACACCTGTAGTCCCAGCTACTTGGGAGGCTGAGGCAGGAGAATTACTTGAGTCCAGGAGGTGGAGGTTGCAGTGAGCTGAGATCGTGCCACTGCACTCCAGTCTGGGTGACAGTGTGAGACTCTGTCTCAAAAAAAAAAAAAAAAGAAAAAAAGGCGGGGGAAGGAAGAGAAACTTGTGACGGGATACACTTTTACATATTATCAAGAAACTATATATCAAGAAATTATATCTCTATGGGTGGTACATATCTTATTTTAATTTTTCAGAATCTGTTAATCCAGCTACTTTTCTAGTTCACTGACGAGCTTCAAAACATAGAAACGTTGCTGGCATCTTGACCTTCTTCATCCAGCAAAGAATGTTTTGCTGACCCAATTAAGGGGACTGGTCATTTAGAATAGTGAGTTTATAAACTTTATTGAAGATGGATCATCTGTGCTCCTTAATTAGCAGGCATAAGATTCTTTCCTAATTGGCTTATTAATAGAGATACTAAAGCTAGCATGTAACAGTGCAACCAACCCCCTTCTTATACCAGAAATGTGTTTACTTCTGAAGACAGTCTTGTGAGGACAAACACTAGCTTTCTCTCTAAGTTGACTCTGGCATATTTTCTTCTCTGAGCTTCATGAAGATCGAAGGAAAAAGGAGTAAACCAAGTTTTTATTAATTCAACCAATATATATTTCCTAAATATTTAATATAAGTTCCAACTACATATAGAATAACAGCCTATGCCACTGCTCTTCTTTCTTACCATTCCTTCAGGGCAGGTGATACTGTTAACACATGGAACACACTCTAGGGTAGCAAGGTTTTACATAATCAAATGCTTCTTTACTCCAGAAGCCTAAGTACTTAAGCTGAGGGTAAGAAATCTGAGGATGGCTAACCATCTTTATATAAATACATCAAGTTCCCCCCTTTAATTGTGGATCACACAGTCTATCTTTTTAATAC